ATATTTTATATTTATATTTATATTTATATTTTTTATTTTATACTTATATCTATATTTTATAACTTTTTAACGAGTGACGATCAAAACTTTCTCAAGGTCACTCAGGGTCATAACCTTGACAACTATGTCAAGGTCAAGATCATTGGAGAAGGGGATTCCTCTAAATTACATATTTATTCATTTGGTAAATAAGAAATGTTTACAACTTGAAAAGGAAGTGTTTCCAAAAAACTTATGTTTTATGTATGACTTTTTTTCATCCTTATAGTGGGTGAAATATGCTCTTAGAATTTGACTAACTATTTCTGAAACACCTTGTATATTACTATTTAGATTTTGCTGATGACAACACTATTGATGGATGTCTATCTCGCTTGCGAAAACTCCTCTGAGGATCCAATTGACACGTACGTGGTGGCCTCAAGTGCAATGCTCGGAATTATCAAACTTACTATGCTGCAAATACAACGATCCACACTTTCGATCAATTTATGCTCTGCTATTCAGGACTGGTGTAACATCAAGGATGCGAGGTCGCGCGAGATCATGATTCAGTATGCACGTACAGCGAGAATAATTTCGCTGTCTCTGTTTTACTGTGGCTTCGTTTCCCTTACATTTTATCTGTTGCGACTTTTACCCTTTATAAACGCTACAGCTAACGGAAGGACGTTTGTCCTTCCGATGACCTGTCTCTTCGAGTCCGTCTCCAATCTCCAGTATGTCCTCATTACATTCTATCAGGTGATTCAGTTGTTTGTGACATATGCTGGAAACTGCTGTACGGAGGGAATTTTTGTCGGTATCACAATGCATCTGTGTGGACAGCTCAAACTTCTAATGAGCGACTTTCATCAAATCGATCACAAGTATAAATGCAAAGGAGGCAACATCATTGAAGAATTCGTCGTAAGACATCGAAAGTTGTTAAAACTCACGGAAACTATCGAAGATTCCTATAGTATAATTATTTTAACTCAGATTTTCACCAGCGCTATTTTGATATGCATAACAGGTAAGTCTTTGAATTATATATTTTCGGGGTTTTTTTATGTATAGGAGAGTTTATGATATCCAAAAGAAATATAAATATATGTATATTTTTAATTATTGCCTCAAAAAATCAAAATGTACAATATATGGTGTCTAGTAAATTTCGACAAAGCGCTTGTATGCAGATAGAGCAGATTAAGTTGAATCGAAAAATCCTCTATCATTTTCCAATTTTCGCAATAGTGAATGAGATATTAATTTTTAAAAATTGTCGAATAAGCGGGTAAAATTGACGCATAAAACAATTTTAAAATTCTTTTCAAAGTTCTTTATAAAATATCTTAAAGATGTTTCTTAAGGAATTCTTAAAAGTTTCTTAAAGTTGTTTTATACATCATTTTAGACATTTTACTCATTTTACTTTAAAAAAAAGATTACGAAAATTGCAAAATAGCAGAAAACTTTCCGACACATTTTAGTCTACTCCATTTACACACGAGCGCTTTGTCAAAACATACTGGACATCCTGTATAATTTTAATTTTAATATTCAATTTCAAATTTTATTTTATTATATGTTGTGTGTGTGTGTGTGTGTGTGTGTGTGTGTGTGTGTGTGTGTGTAACTTTGCTTTAATTGATTTCATATGTAAAAATTGTGTGAAAATGTAATATATATGAGGATTGTGTTATGTAAGTTCCTAAAAAATTTATTTCTATAATAGCATTGTAAATGCATATTTGGATATCAAAAAGCAAATAAAAATAAATATTATATTACTTTATTACAAAAGCAAGTTTACGTATTGTAAGAATATCCTATACATTTTATATTATATTAGTCTAGTTGAGCTGAGTTATGAGAGAGTCAAAATAAAATTTTTAAATAATTATAATTTTAAAAAGATCAATCAGAGACTAAAATTTTGTTAATTTGTATTAATTTAAGGCTTTGGACTCATCGTATCCTGGCACATTCATGACATAGTTATGACGGTGAAGAGCATTGTAATAATGATTGTTATGTTGATGCAATGTTTTCTGTATTCATATGCGGGTGATAATTTGAGGGATCAAAGCGAGGCCTTGTCATTCGCGCTTTATGACAGCAATTGGTGCGATTTTTCGCCTAATGATATAAGAGACTTAGCGTTTATTATGATAAAAACGAATATACCCATTCGTCTAACTGCCGGAAAATTTTTCTACGTCACACGTGCTACTTTTACGGACATTTTAAAAACTGCAGTATCTTACTTATCCGCTTTACGTGTTATGATTGATAAACAAGAAATAAATAGTTACTAGTTTACTAATAAAGATTTTTCTTCATCACATATCATGTCATATATTATTTAAGAGAAACATTTGCAGAGATGCGAAATTTTTAGTCCAATGTTGATATATAATATTAACATATAATTTTAATTTACATTAGGTAAAAATTTGACATTCTTTTCAGAAGAATATTACAAGCAAACCATTCAAAAATTCCTTATTTTGAATTTTCTTCTTAAATAAGACTATATCTTACGATAAAATTTTTTAAATAGATAAATTTAATTGTAGAAAATCATCTAACAAATATATTTGTCTAAAATTAATTTTTATATTTATTTTGACAAAGAAATTTTGTTTAAATATATGTATATAAAATTATTAATATATAAAATTACTTACTTGTAGCGTATATTATTCCAATTTTCATAATGTGAATATATCGACAACAACAAAATTTACAAAACAATTTATCCGTACTATATATTTTTCACATTTACTCATCCGTACTATATGTTTTTATGCTCAAAAGAAACTAAAATCAAAAGAACTAAATCTATAATATTTACGGTTGAAATGATATAAAGATTGCCTAGACGAAATAAAATGTAATACAGAACTAGAACTGTAGTATAAGCGTAGTATAAGCGGGAGATGAAGTTTTTCTCTTGACAGTATGCTTGAAACGCAATCATTAAGCGACAACTAACGAAATATATTCTTACAAATTCTTATTGCAATAGCTATGCATATAACAACATAATTCTCTATATTCTATGATAATGTGTTAAGAGCATAGTGGCAGGCTGGTATAAGTTTTCAAGATGAATAAAAAATAACTCGAAACACAGACAGACGTTATATCGAACATATCATCGGTTATTGGTGGCAGTTACAGTTATTACCTTAACCCGATGGCAAGTGAACGATGGAAAGACGATGTTACATATGCGATAACCCCTTTTAAATTGGTTGCGTGGTCCATTGGTATCTGGCCACTTCAAGTTCGTAATACTTATTCGTTGATATCATATGTCTTTGGCATCTTTTCCGCGGTATGAATTTTTTGAGTTTTATCTCAATAATCAATGACATATACGATTCTTTGAGGACAACGTAAATTAATATTTATTTGATATTTTATTATATGAAGATGTGTCAATAGGTCCTCTTGATTATCTTACCTTGTTTCGAGATTTATTTGGGTTGCACTGACGCAGAAACAAGCATAGATTGTCTCATGTTAATCTTTTGCGGAATACTTGGTGTGTTAAAGATAATATGGTTTCGCATTTACGCAAGAAATTTGGCTAACAATTATAGCTCTGCCATGAAGGATTATGTAACAATTGAAAATGCAAAAGAACGTGCCATCATGAGGAAACATGCTTTTATGGGAAGGACTCTGTGCTGTTTAATTTTGGGCTTTGCTTATTTTAGTTCTATAATGTATGGACTAATCGCTATTTTAGATGAATATAAGCATGTCAATATAACGAACGAAGATACCATGCCAGAGTATCCAATACCATCGAAATGCTTTATGAAGTTCTTAAATGCTCCAATAAGCATGCATAAAATCTTCTGCCTCGTCGATGTTGTTGCATTAATACTAGCGAGTACTACTAATCATGGTATTGTCAACGTGTTATTTGACATCTTTTTATCTTTTTGTTGTATTTAATCTTTAAAGATTAGCAACGTTTATTTTAAAATACATGTATACTTACATATAAGTACATTCTATGCATAAGCAATTTTTATTGTTTATTCTCTAAATCTGAATCAGTGGATCACTAATTATTTAGTGGCATACTTGGCATTGATAATCAGTGAAGTTCAATTAAAAAAGGAAGAATATTTAATATTTAATATTTGAGCATTATATTACTAAAATACTGATATTTGCACGTTAATTTGAATTTTTCAATATTCGTTGAATTTAAGTACTAAAAGGTTAGTTAGATCACATAATAAAAATTAGCTAGGTCAGGGATCTTATATTTAATTCATTGATTACCAGTGGCATATTCGACATGATAGTGATTATTGACTGATTCAGATTTAGAGAGTATTAATGCAAATACTTATATTGTCTACTAATTTAGATAACATTGTTAAAGCATAGAAGTTTTGCTTTATTTATATTAAAAAAGTATTGTTCTGCATATTTATTAGTGTATTATTATATTTTTGATTTTCTTTAATGATTAAAAGGTAACGACGCTTTGTTTCTGAATGCTACATTGCATGTTTGCGGTCAAGTGAAAATTCTGAGAGCCAATTTTCTTAATTTTGATATCAAAGGTCCGCATATCTATAATCGTTTTAACGTATTGATTGAAAGACACAAATACTTAATAAAACTGGCCAGAGAACTTGCTGAAATGATTAGTTTCGTTTTATTGATAGAATTATTTCTTATCAGTATTCTTTTATGCATAATGGGTGTGTAAATGATATACTACTTATAATTATTTTGCAAATCGTATTATGATATAAAAATCTATATTAAAGAAATACATTTTTTTTTCAGGATTTCAACTTATTTTACAATTAGGTGAAAATAACGTTGTTTTAATTACAAAAAATATAATGGTACAAAGTACCTTTCTAACACAATTAACTTTATACGGTGTTATTGGGAATTATTTAAGATCTGAAATGGAAGAAATAGGGCTTTCTATTTATCGGAGCACTTGGTACAATTTTCCTGCAAAGCTAACGAGACATATGATATTTATTCTTATGTGTTCAGATTCCCCCGTCGCTTTGCAAGCTGGAAATTTTATCGTGGTAAATTTGGCAACTTACGTAAGCATCTTAAAAACATCTCTTTCGTATTTATCTGTACTTCGTGTAATGGTAAAGGTGTGAAATATAACATATTACAATAAAGAAATAATTTTACAAATTATAAATATATAATTTAGACGAATGTTAATTTGAATGCATAAAAGAAAAAATGTATTGAAACGTTATTTTAATAAAATTGTTGATTATAATTACAAGTCATTACTACAGTCATCTGTACCAAATCTATTTTATATATAATTAATGTACAATATATTTATTTAAACAATGTGCATATATACAATATGGAGTGTATCTGAAATAATGTCCACTAATCATGGTGCTATTCCCAATAAAAAAATTGAGTCGAAAAGTCCTCTCCATTTTGCAATTTTCGGAATTCTTTTTTTTTGTTTAATTTTTTGTTTAATAAAAAATTTTAAATTAAATTTAAAAACGTATAAGACAACTTACGATGTTTTTAAGAGTATTCTTTTTTTGTTAATAACTTTTTAATGAAGGATGACCGCAGGCTAAAATCTTTCGAAGGTCACTCAGGATCATGATCTTAACAATATCTGTTAAGGTCAAAGTCATCGGAGGGTAATCCGTTATACTGTATATTTACCAAAAGTTGAATAAAATTGTGAAATTTTAATTAATTAAAAAACGGCTACGTCCGGCGATAGAGGTAAGTTTTCTGAAAAAAATGCAATTTACAATAGGTCGAGTATATTTTTTGCTGTCAACTATATTGAAAAAAATGATTTTAAAAAATTTTATTCTCAGATTACTATATATGTTAACTGCACAAATTTAAATTTCAAAAATTAAGTTATTCTTATTCGGCAATCCCTGGATCACATAATAGCTCTTTCGTATCTAAAAACGCTTCTTCGTCAACGCCAGTTCTAGCGCATCATCGTACAGAAACTGCTTCACGAAAACAGCTGTATCTTCGTCAATTTTCCGAAAATATCTTTAAAACTTGGCATATTATTCTCGATATTATTATTATATCTTTCAAAATATTACAAAATTAAAAAATCGATTTTTTTCAAAATTTTATTGCCCCTTAAGAAACATTTTAAAAATATTTCATAAAAAATATTGAAAGATATCTTAAAATTTTCTTATATATCGATTTTATTCGACATTCTTTAGAAATTAATATCTCATTAAATACAACGAAAATTGCAAAATGATACAGGACTTTTCAGTTTTTTATTATGAATAGCATTGTATGATTAAGGCATTATTTAAGATACACTCTGTGTACTTTAACTTGTTGTTAAATTAATGTAATGAAATTAAAAAAATAAATTTTTGATGTAATGCGCACATATATAGGTTCTATCTCAATCACTAATAGATTCTCTAGAAATAGAATATGAAAAATACTGTGTACTAATAAACTTGGAACAAAAGACGTGCATATTGGATTGTTCAAGAAAGGCAAGATTGTCGCCAGAACAATTTCTATCGGCGATCGCTATCTACAATTTTTGCACGCGACCAATCTAAGTTAACTTATGCAGCCAACTACCTCATCAACTTAATAAGGCCGCGATTAAGAGTGCATTCCATTTGACGCTCGCAACACATGAAATTATTTTATTCTTGTTGTTTAAATGTTAAGAAAGGATAAATAATGCTCGCAAACTTTGTGAGCGTCAAAGGAAATGTACTCCGAGTTACCTTAATGCACCCAACTACTTATTACTTTTAAAAGTTAACTTAGCTTATCCAAAACTATATAATGATATAGCGATTCGTTACTTCAATAATATAAACAACACTTTTATGCAAACCAATAAAAATTGATCATAACAGCAATTTTTTTTATTCGTAAATGACAGCCAATTTGTCTTGTCGAGTCCAACATCCAATGTCCTTATTACATTTTACCAGGTGATTTAATTATTCATGACATAAGAAGGAATTTTCGTCGGTATCACGATGCATTTTAAGGACAATTGGAATTTTAGAATTTAGATAATTGATTTTTAGCGGATCGAGTGTCACAAATACAAAGGAGACATCACTGTTAAATTCTTTATTAGCTGACTGAGATAGTGAATAATATGCAAATATAAATTTAAAAAATTAATCATTTGCACAATATATATTTTTATTTTTATTCAATCAAAAGAATATTAAATTGAAATAAAATATAAGACAATTAGAACTTACACAAAAGGAAATATATACAATAGAACTAACAATTCGTGCAATGAAAAAAGTAGTTATTCGATGAACGATAACTTAGAAAATTTAGTCATACTATATAAATTCTTGCGCAACAATGGAAATTTTGCATGAAAGCCTAATTCTCTATATTTTACTATAATGCTCTAAGAGCGTAGACAGAATGATGAATGGATATATGCCTCTAGCTGAATAAAAAATGAATCGAAATAGTGGCATTACATCTATGTACGAAGCGAATCATCAGTCATTGGCATCAGTTACAGTTATTACCTCGTCCCGATGACGAATATACGATGGAAAGACGATGTCTCGTACGCAATGATCCCCTTCAAATTGCTAACGTGGCCCATCGGTGTTTGGCCACTTCAAGTTTATAACATTTATTCGCTCTTACGATGCATCTTTGCTACCTGTTGCGTGGTACGCATCTTTTTCAGTGAACCTTGTCGCGTGATAGTCCCAGGACATATACGTAAAACATCTTCCACATCACATCGTCCTAAACAAAACTTCGCAATGGCAATACCAAGTGCTTGTTGACTCTTCCTGTACTCCTGGATAATAGATGTCATTGACAACGTGAAATATTTCTTTCTAGAGATAACGTGAGTGGGCCATGAATGAGCACGATCGTAAACCTTGAAAGTTTTGATTCAAACGAAAATCATTTTTCTTAAAATCTTTATGTCTGTTGTTGCTCATTCATGCTTAATGATAGTATTTTAATTCATTCTAAGTATATATTCTACATATATTCTATATGATTTATTTCACGATTTGTACAAGAAAAACAAAATGAATACAGAATGGCAAATAAATTCTCATTGGTCGTATTTAGTAGAATGTTTATTTTGCAGTTGTTGGAAGTTTCTTTTCGCATTGATTGAATTATATTTTTAGATCTAGGGAATAGTCCTGAATGAAGAAAACTTTGAAAGATACACATAGAAAGAAAAGTTTTCCTGAAATATCCTATAAAATTATAGGATATATAATTATAGGATATAATATCCTATAAAATTTAGATCTGAAAATAATTTTGTTGGGCTAAAATACATAAAATGCTTAAAATAATTATATAAGATGTTCAAGCTAATTGCTAAAATGTCAATATTTTTTGTAACATTGCGCATCATTAAGTTTTCTGCAATTATTTTGATGATTCAATAAAATTATGTTCAGTTTTTTATTTAAGTTTTTTATTTAAATTTTTAGATATTTCAGGAAAATCTCATTCTTTTCGTGCAGATAACATTAAATCTTTAAACATATAATTATATATATTCTTTATCTTTAAATCAGATTATATTCTAACATTTTTTTATGCTTTATGCACAGACAAAATATTGTAGCTATATTTGCATTAGTTTCTAACCTTTTTTTTCTAACATTATTTGCAATTAATATTAATAAAGATTCATCAAAGTAGAATGCAGACATATCTTTTTTAAACACATAAAGCTTTATATAATATAAATTTATACATATCAACAGAGCTTAATGGTAATATTGCCTTCCATCGAACTCTACACGAACTGCAATAACGCTGAACAGAACGTAGACAGCCTTATGTTACTCTGTTGTGGAATACTTGGTATACTGAAGACAGTATGGTTTCGCATTCACGCAAAGAATTTGACTAACAATTACAACTCTGCTCTAAACGATTATTTGATGATTAAAAACGCAAAACATCGGGCCATTATGCGAAAACATGCTTCTACGGGAAGAATTCTCTGCTGTTTCTTAATGTGTTTTTCTTACTTTAGTTGTCTATTATACACAATAATTCCTTTTTTGGGTAATGCTAATAATAAAATAAATGTAACGAGTGAGACCATGTTACAATATACAGTACCATCAAGATGTGCTTTGGAGTACTTCAATGCTCCAACAAGCATGCACACAATCTTGTGTCTCATCGAAGCTATCTCGCTTACTCTAACAAGTACTACTAATCATGGTAATATTTGCTGTTTGATATTTTTGTTTATTTTTTGGTGTTATGTAATTTAGAACATTATTTAGAACATTTTATAAACTCAAAATTATATAATTGGAATTAAAAAAAATTTTTATAATGTATATTGTGCCTTCTTGTCTGTTAACAATATCATTACGAAAATTAATATTATTTTACGATAATTATCTTCATTTAAATAATCTTCATTTAAATACATTAAAGAAAATCAGTTTTTTGATAGCATAAATAATAATAGAATCAACACAGATATTTAAATTAAATAAGAAATAATAGATACAAATTGTTTTAATATTACTACTAGTTCAAGAAGACTTACTGTAAAAAAATTATACTCTTCTAATTTATACTCTTTTGTGGATATAAATATTGTGTATGTGTGTGTATATATATATATATATATATATATATACAGAGAGTCTGGAAATAATGATAAATCTTTTGCATAGGGGCAAAATGGATTAAACTGAGAAGAAAAGTCCTCTAAAATTTTGCAATTTTCGCAATAGTTAACAAGATATTAATTGCTAAAAATTGCCGAAAACTGATCTTCAATAATTTTTTAAATACTATCAATACTCAAATACTATCAATTTTACAGAAAAACTGCATAAAACAAAAATTGTTTATTTTTTTCTTGTAGAGCTCCAAAAATTTTTAAATAATTTTTTCAGAAATTTTTTAATACCGCATTTTCTTATGTTGATAAAAATGAAAAAATGCAGTATTAAAAAGTTGATAAAAAATTCTGAAAAAATTAAATTAAAGTTCTATAAGAAGAAAATAAATAATGTTTGTCTCTTGTAGTTTTTCGGTAAAGTTGATTGTATTTGAGTAAAAAATTATTCAAGACCAATTTTTGACAATTTTTAGCAATTAATATCTT